AGCCGACCAGAGGCGAACTCGCCGCCACGGTCAGAGTGAAGACACAACACGAGGAGACCGCGGTGAAGACGCGCAACCACAACCCACGGGAGAAGAACGTCGGGCACGTCGGCCTTCCGCTCCAGGGGAAACACCGTGGTGTAGCGGGTGTAGTCGTCGATGAGCACAAGAAAGTAGCGCTCACCGCGCGGACCGAGGACGAGGGCTGGGCCCCAAACGTCTAGGTGCAGGGTCTGAAGGGGAGCAGTAGCAGGGCGAAGCGAGGAGGAGTGAGGGGCATGACGGAGCCGGCCCTCGACGCAAGGCATGCACAGTGGAGCAGTCGAGGGGGGAGGGAGGGGAGCGACGCGGGGAGGCCTAAGTGGTGGTGCCACAAAAGGGACGGGTGAGTGAGGGACCGACACGAGCAAGCTGCAGCGAGCTGGGAGGACTCACCAACCGGGGGGGAAGCGGTGTCGAGGGTAAACAGACCGGACACCGGGTCCCGGGGGAACGTCGCAAGGGGGGAACCTGAGACAGCCTCGGTATAGACAGTGAACCGCTCGTGCCCAGGGAATGTAGTGGTGACGCCGAGATCCTGAAGACAGCCAACACCAACCAGGTTCCTAGAGAACGAGGGAACGTGGAGGCCCGTAAGGGAGCCCGAGGGAACGGCTGGACAGGGAAGGGAAGTGGAGCTGCGAGCGACGACAGGACCCGCAGAGGGGTCACCAAGAGCGACAACAGCAGGCGCGGCAAGCGGTGTGAGCATGGAGCGGTCGCGGAAGCAACAGGCAGAAACACCGGAGTCGAGAGTGAAGGATAGCGAGGCAGTAGCAGAGGCCGGGAACGGGGCTGGTGCAGGAACGAGGCTAGTCGAACTAGGCAGTCCTACGCCTGACGCAGCAGGGGAGGCTAAGCTACACAAGGGTGCTACACCTAAACTAGAGTACACAGGGTAATAAGATCCAGCAACACTAGAAGCGTCAGCATACAACGCATGCAAAGCAGCACCTATCTGATCCATATCGAACTCAAAGATCGGCACGCCCTAGCGAAGCAGGCTGTGCCGGTTGGGGAGGTCCGGGGCCAGGCCAAAGCGACGACGAAAGAGATTATCGAGGCGGCGGAAGCAGCGGGCGGTCGGGTGCGGGCGGTGGCACAGAGTGCCGCGAAGAGGCCCGGTCTGAAGCTTGTACTGGTAGGTCACACCAACGGAGCTACCGGTAGACGCCAAGCTGCGTGGGCCGCCACCACGACCACCACCTACGGAGGTGCCGGGCCAACCCGGCGGGAGACGAGCCCACAGCGGGGGCAGAGACAGCTGCTGCGACGACTGCGACGGCTGCTCCTGCTGCTGGGGCGACGGCTGCTACTCCTGACTAGCTGCAGTAGTCCCCTCAGTAGAACCACTGTCCCCGGCACCGCCACCACCACCAGCTCCAGCACCACGCCCTCCCTGGCGGCCACGGCCAGCGCGGCGCGGGCGCTACTGCGGGTGGACCGCAGCTGCGGTCTCGGTCAGAGGGGTCGCAGTGGCGACCGCAGCCAAAACGCAGTAAACGTGCACTGGGAGGGGGCACAGCCGTGAAAGATTGAGACTGCCGGCGCACCGCTCGACTTAGCGATAGTGCGCTGGCGAGTCTCGATCTCGGTCAGGGCGGTGACAAAGGCTGTCAGGGTGAGATCACCAGGGTGCTGGCTAAGGATGTGGTCGCGTGCACTAGCAAGGTGGTCAGGCAGGCGCATAGCGATAAAGTAGAGGGTCATGCAGAAGGGGGAGGGGAGCGCAGTGAGCTGGGCAGCAGTGCTAGCAGTGCGGTACAGGACTCTAGGGCTCGCAGGTGAGTGGCAAGGTCAGCAACAGTAGGGAAGGAAGCAAGGTCTTGGATAAGCATAGGGAAGAGCAGGCGGCCTGCAGTAGCGGAGGCAGGCGTGGAATATAAAGAAACAACAGCATCTAAGTAAGCCTTGGCTGTATCAACTGTAGCGAAACGCGAACGCTCAGACACAGGGAGGGCGTGTCTGATAGCAACCTGAGCAACTGCATCGCGAGAGTCCCAGACGGCACAGGCAAGTGCAGCAGCAGAGAAAGTCTCACGCTCAGCAGATGTGGGATAAGCAGGGAGGGGAGCAGGCTCAGGGGGGCGGGGGAGCAAGCCATCAGCATGGACAACCAAGGAGTGCCCATCCTGGCGCTGACCTGTGAGTTGACGGCGGAGGTCGGACAGCCAGGCGGCGAAGTCAGCCATCGTGCAGGGTCAGCGATACAGGGACACAGCGACACAGCTCCACATGACACAGCGGCACAGCTCCACAGGAGGACGTCTGCAAGACACGGGCAAGCAGAAGACACGGGGCCGTAGAGTCGAGGAACCGTGCCGAGCAGAAGACACCTGGCCGCAGAAACCAGGCGTGCACTAGGAGCTGCGGGCCGCAGGAGCCGGGCAGGCGTGTCGGGGCCGAGCTGGCGCTAGGAGGGGCCGGGCAGGCGCTAGGAGGGGCCGAGCGGGCGCTAGGAAGGGCCGGGCTGGCGCTGGGAGGGGCCATGCAGCGCTAGGAGGGGCCGGGCGAGCGTTAGGAGGGGCCGAGCTGGCGCTAGGAGGGGCCAGGCAGCGCTAGGAGGGGTCGGGCGGGCACTGGGAGGGGCCGGGCGAGCCGGCGGGCGCTAGGAGGGGCCGGCCGGGCGGGCGCTGGGAGGGGCCGGCCGAGCGCTAGGACGGGCCGGGCGGGCGCTAGGAGGGGCCGGTCAGGCGCTGTGGGGCGGGCGGGCGCCACTGGCTGGGCGGGCACTAGGAGGGGTCGGGCAGGCGCTAGGAGGGGCCGGGCGGGTGCTATGGGACGGGCGGGCGCAACTGGCCGGGCGGGCGCTAGGAGGGGCCGGGCGGGCGCTAGGGGCCAGGGTGGCGCGGATAAGCCAGGCGGGCGCGACGGGGCCAGGCGGGTGCGACGGGCCGGGCGTGCGCGACGGGCGGGTGCTACGGGCCGGGCGGGCGTGACAAATGCTACGGGCAGGCGGGCGCTGTGGGCCGGGCGGGTGCTACGGGCCGGGCGGGCCCTAGGCGCCAGGGTGGCACGGAGGGGCCAGGCAGGCGCGACAGGGCCAGGCGGGGGCTACGGGCCGGGCAGGCGCTAGGGGCCAGGGTGGCGCGGAGGGGCCAGGCGGGCGCGAGGGCTAGGTAGGGGGGGGGGGGAGAGGCTAGGGCGCGGGCGGAAGCGGGCGGGTGGACCTAACCTACTCGTGATACCATGTTAGAATGCAAGAATGAATCACTAGTGTGAGAAACCTATAACATATTGTTAGAAGGTTAGCTTAGCTAGGAAGCTAGGAAAGGCATGAGGTTTAGCTAGGAGGAGCCATGGAGTGGCGTGAGGTTTAGGAAGGAGAAAAGTTGAGGAGAGAAAAAGGGATGGAATAGAAAGAGAGAGGCATACAAGGAGGGGATTGACCCTCTACAGTAAAGTTCGGTAACCTACCAAGCCTAACAATTATATAACTCAATATATAATTTAACACACCCCCTATGCTTGGTAGTCACAAGCCCACACACACCCCCACACCCCCTAACCTAGCACCCCCATTCCAGCCACAGTGACAGCGACACTAGCTCGGTCGACCCCTCGGCGCGTGAGGCGGCGACGTCGACCGCAGGGGCTGCGGCGACGACGGCGGGAGCGGCGGCAGTGTCGACAGCGGCGGCGGCGGCGTGCGGCTACGTGGCCCCGACGCAAGCGGCGACAGCGGCGACGGCGGCGGCTTCGACAACAGCGGCAGCGGCGGCGGCGCCCGCACCTCTCGGTGACGTGGCCAGGCCCCGCGACGGTGGGACGGCCGGCGGGAGTCGGCCGTCGTCTGCGGAAAGGAAGAGGACACAGGGGAAGGAAGGGGGGGGGGGGGGGGGGGGGGGGGGGCACAGGTTGGCGTGCGGGCGGCCGGTCTAGCGGCGCCACAGGCGTCGCGCGGCAGGCTACAGCCCGACGACGCCGTCACACAGTGGCGTCGACGCCGCGGCAGGACGTCGACGCTGCGACGGCAGCACGACGGCCCGACACCACGGCAGCGCGTCGAGACGGCCGCGGCACGACGCGGCCAGCGGCATCACGACGCCGCCACTGCAGCAAGGTGGCCGCGCGAGTGAACGAGGGTGAGGAGTACGCGGCGGAAGCGTGAGGAGGCGGTCCAGCAGGGAGGACCTCCTGCTCTGATACCATGTTAGAAGGTTAGCTTAGCTAGGAAGCTAGAAAAGGCATGAGGCTAGGAGGAGCCATGGAGTGGCGTGAGGTTTAGAAAGGAGAAAAGTTGAGGAGAGAAAAAGGGATGGAATAGAAAGAGAGAGGCATACAAAGAGGGGATTGTACCCTCTACAGTAAAGTTCGGTAACCTACCAAGCCTAATAATTATATAACTCAATATATAATTTAACACATATACCTGTTGGGTTGTACTCACTAGAAGCACACACCTAGGCTAGCCTATAACTTCTACATACAGCACATGTATAAGTTGACAACAACACCCCTCCTTGTATCCCTCTCTCTTCCTAGTCAACTCTCTTTTCTCTCGATACTCTTGCCTCCCTCCTAGCTAAACCCCTCTGCCATTCTCATGGCGGCCTTTCTTAACTCCTAGCCTAGCATTCTGGCACAACCCCCTCCTTGTATCCCTCTCTGTCCCTAATCAATCTCCTCTTTCCTCTCGAAACTTTTGGTCCCTTGCTAAACCCTCCTACTTTCATGGCTGCCTAGCGTCCTTAGTTTAACATGCAGAGCATGGGGGGCTATGGGCGCACTGACCCACTATTAACAAGCCCTTTTAACTCAGTGGTTAGTGACTAAGTTCTGACTGTTTGTGCCAAGGTGGTGGTAGGCTTGCATTGCATTCATATGGATAGAGCTTTCCTTCCTAGAGCATTCACAATGTGGCGATGCTGTAGGGCACATAGCCAGTTGTTTCTTGTACTGTGCTCTCAAGTGTACAGTAATGAAGTCTCAAGGTTTCAAGGGCAACACAAGTGCATAAAGTGTGCTATACAACTGTATTCATTCCTACCAGCTACACTCGACTCGAACCCAGACTCACTAGTATGCTCCATTAAGTAAGAGTGGAGCTCACACACTCTCAAGAGTGTGACAACAAAGGGGCAACACAACTAGGACCATTCTAGGTTCTACACAAAGCAAACCATCCTATCCTACCATGCTTATTACCGTATTTCCCTCAACCTACCGTGCACCAGGACCTGGGTAAAGCACCACTCTCCTCCGGAGTCCTGCTGCTCCCCTAACGTTAGTGTAAGCGGCTCATGCTTCTGTGCCATTCCCAGCCAAGTCAGTCACGGAATCACGGACGGTACGGTATCTTGGTCTCCCCCACCCAGCTACCCAGCTGCAGCAGCTTGTTCGGCAGGAACCCCTCTGCCTGGCGCTCTGTGAGCCTGCCCGGCCGCGCCCACGCCACGCGCCGGCCCTTGGCGCCCGGGCCAGAGGTTTGGAACTCGGCAAAGTAGGGCCGGCCCCCCCAGATGGTCTTGGTGGTTGCGTCAGACCACTCCAACCACCCCGCAGGGACAACCACCTGGCCAGGGGGAGAGAGGAAGGGCGGGAGGGAGGGAGGGAGGGAGGGAGGGAGGGAGGGAGCGGAAAGGGAGGGAGGGAGGGAGGGAGGGAGGGGAAAGGGAGGGAGGGAGGGGGGAAAGGGAGGGAGGGAGGGGGGGAAAGGGAGGGAGGGAGAGGAAGGCATGTGGGGTGAGGGTGGGTGCGAGTGTGGTGCAGATGAACGGCACATGACAAACGCAGCAGGGTCCCACACATTCCTTTTGGTTCGCCGTGGTGGCGCACGCCCGTGTGGTGAGGATGACAACAAGGCTCAACAACCCAAACACCACCACCTACCTCCCAGCAACAGCACCCACCAAGCTCAAAACCTACCAGGGGCAGGAACAAGTCTTGTTTCCTCTCAAAAGTCAACCCTGCACCACACTCCACACCCCACACTTCCCACCCAGCACTTACCGGAGACAGGAACGTGTGGATGAAAATCGTGCGGGAGTAGGGCCACCAGGGGCGCGCCAGGTACCCGTACTGCCCCGCGCTCTCCCCCACCACCTTCCCCCGCAGGAACACAAAGGCGGAGGGGTCCTTTAGCGTGACGCGCCCCTGCGCCGCCACGGTGCTGGAGTACCCCGGCGGGCTGCGGCGCACGACGAAGGTGCAGTCCTCAAACACGGCTGCTGCGACCCCGAAGACGAAGTCGATGGTGCCGCGCACCGTGCAGTTGCGGAAGTACTGCCGCCCCACGTCCGGGGCTAGCGTGTCCTGGGGGAGGGGAAGGGGGGGAGAGGGAGGGAAGAGGACAGGCGAGGGAAGGAAGGAGGGAGGAGAGAGAAAATGAGAATGAGAGAGAGTGTGTGTGCGTGTCATTGTGAGTCCTCAAAGATGACTGCTGCGACCCCGAAGACGAAGTCGATGATGCCGCGCGCCGTGCAGTTGCGGAAGTACTGCCGCCCCACGTCTGGCGCCAGCGTGTCCTGGGAGAGGGGGGGGGGGATAGGGAAGAGGACGGGCGAGGGAAGGAAGGAGGGAGGGGATGACCAGGTGTGTGCGTGCGTGCGTGTGCTCATGCACCATAATGCGTACTGGCTATGGCGTGTTGGAGGGGTGTGTTAAGGGTCGGAGACAGGGAGGGCAACTGCAGTGAAGTGGGTGATGAGGAGGGACAAAGGGAGAGAAGATGCTAATAACCTCGCGACCTCACCTGCTGCCCCCCTCGAACCCTCCCGTCTCTCTCACCTGGTGGCCCAGGAACACGCAGTCGTAGAACGCCGACTTATCCCCCTCCGTCCGCAGCGCGATGGCCTGTCCCGCGGCGGCCCCCGCGCTATTAACGACCGTGAGGCCCATGGCGGTGAAGTAGTCCGCGTTCACGCCCACGCTCGCCGAGTCGAACGCCGTATACCCGTTCCGCACGCTCGCGCCGTACGTGATCACCGTGCTGCTCGCGCCGTCGCCTAGAAATATGACGCTGTCTTTATTCAAGAGGACCTTTTCCGCGTAGATTCCCTTCATTATGTACACCACGAACCGCGTCGGCGGGGGCTTGTACGCCGCGATCAGCTTCGTCGCAGCTTCCTGCACCGTCCGGCAGTGCCCGGGTTTTCCGGTCTTGGACACTATGAAATCCGGCTTTAATCGCGGCAGCTTTGCGCCGACCGCCGCCAGCCGCCGCCCGCGGTTCGCCTCCCAGTGCGCCGTTAGGTTTCCCGCCAAGATCTCCTCCGCGCGCGCGTAGTGCTCGCGCATGAAGCGCTGCAGCTCGCGCAGCTCCGAATACTCCGCCTCGCGCACCCACGCGGGCCGCGCCGCCGCCGCCGCCGCCGCTTTCTCCGCCGCCCGTGACGTCAGCCTGCGGGACTGGCGGCTCGAGAGCCAGGAGGAAGAAGAGGAGGAGGAAGAAGAGGAGAGAGCTGAGGGGGAAGGGGGAGGGAAGGTGTGGTGCACGGCTCGATACAACTCCCGCGCTTCTCGCCGCCTGTCGACCTCCAGCCCCTTGCGCCGCGCGTGCATGGCGCTCCCCGGTCGCTCCGCGCCGCCCGCGTCCGCCTCCGCGTCCGCGTCCTCGTCTCTCAGCGACGTGACTATAGCGAGCGCGTTGGAGATGTAGGCGAGGGTGGGCCCCGCCTTGAGCTTCGACGGGCTCTCCACGTCACCCATCCCCGCCCCCGCCGTTTGAGCCCCGCCTCCTTTTCCGTCCCGGCCTCCCCCCGCCTCAACCCCACTATCCCTCGCGCCCCGGTCAATCGCCGCCATTGCCACCTCCTTGCCGTCCGCCAGCCTCCCTTCCGCTGCCCCCCCCGCCGGTCCTGTTCCGCCTTCCGCCTGTCTTTCCGCCTGTCCTTCCGCCATGCGCACGTGCCCCACGAGCGGCGTGTCCAGCTCCACCAGCGGCTGCTGCTTGCCGCCGCTGCCGCTGCCGCCGCCGCTGCCGCTGCCGCTGCCGGTGCCGCGCCGCACGCTCGACACCAGGCTGTTCCAGATCGCTGCGGCGCCCTTCCCGCCGCTCTTCGCGCCGTTTGTCGCGCCCTTCTTCTTTGCGCTGCCGTTAGCTGAGCCTCTCGCGCTGTTCTTTGTCTTGCTGCCGCCGCTGCCGCCACTGCCGCTACTGCCAGAGCTGCTGATGATCTGCGTGGTTGCCAGACTGCCGCTGCCCGTACCAGCCTGGCCTTGCTGGCGGTTCGTCAAAGGTCCGCCGGCCTTGCTTGCGCCCCTCATCACCTCCTCTCGCGTCTTAAAGCGCGCCACCCGCATCCCCCCTGCGCTGTCCTGGGCGCTTTCGCCATTCGCTCCACTCCCGCGCTTATCACTGCTGCTGCTGCTGCTGCTGCTGCTGTTCGTGCTGTTACTTTTGGTTCTCCCCTTCGTTCCCCCCAATGCCTGCGCCACTAGCAAACCAGACCCGCTTCGGGGCTTATCTTTCCTGTTGCGCCCACCCTCCGCCGCTCCCACTTCCGCAGTGCCTAAATCCGCAACCTCCGCAGACCTTGCGGCTTCCGCGGAGTTCCCCGCGGCGGCGGCGCGGAGGTCGCGCGCGGCGGCGGCGGCCGCCATGTTGGTGGAGCAGTGCGAGGTGAGCGTGAGCGCCGCGCTGATCCAGTACGTCTGGCCCTCGGGCTCCGCGCCACCTTTCAGAGACGCCGACGCGCGACGGAGATACGCTGCGGCCCGGTCAAGCTGCACGGGGAGAAGGGAGGGGGGGAGAGGGGGAGAAGGGGAGAGGGGAGAAGGGGAGAGGGGAGAAGGGGAGGGGGGGAGAGGGGGAGAGGGGAGAAGGGGAGAGGGGGAGAGGGGGAGAGGGGGAGAGGGGGAGAGGGGGAGAGGGGGAGAGGGGGAGAGGGGGAGAGGTGGAGGGGGCATCGGGTTGGGTAGGTGCGAGAATACGTTCGTCGGGATTTGATTGCGATAAGAATGAAGGGGAATGAACCAGCCCGCTAGTCAACGGATCGCTACCGCGCACCCGCTACACCGCGCACACGCTGCCCCGCGCACCCGCTGCCCCGCGCACACGCTACACCGCGCACACGCTACCCCACGCACCCGCTACCACGCGCACACGCTACACCGCGCACCCGCTACCCCGCGCACACGCTGCCCCGCGCACCCGCTGCCCCGCGCACATGCTACACCGCGCACATGCTACACCGCGCACCCGCTACCCCGCGCACCCGCTACCCCGCGCACCACGTTACCCCGCGCACCCGCTACCCCGCGCACACGCTGCCCCGCGCACACGCTGCCCCGCGCACCCGCTGCCCCGCGCACCCGCTACCCCGCGCACCTGTTCCAAGCAGTCTCTGGCGACGCGGCTCTCTCCCTCGCTGCGCGGGTCCTCGCCGCTGCTCCGCGACAGCCGCTCCGCGCGGCCCCGCAGCAAGCCCACTTCCTCCAGTGCCACGTCCACCGTCATCGACGTCAGCAGGTCCTGCGAATGCGACGGCTGCGACGAATGCGACGACTGCGACGACGGTCGCCGCGAGCTCGACTTGGCCGCCAATTCGCGGCCGCGAGCTGCGGGGGAAGTCGCGGAGGAAGACGCGCGGTGGCGGCAGATGGCGGAGAGGCAGAGCGCGGGGTCGTCGGCGCGCAGGCACAGGGCGGAGGCGCCGGGGAGGCAGTCGTCCGCGGAAGAGAAGGCGGCGGAGGCGGAGACAAGGAGCGGGGAGGAGGCGGGTTGGCGGAAGGTGACTGACGAGAGTGAGAGTGATGAGAGGAGGAGAAGGAGGCGGAGGATCGGGCAGGGGGGAAGGTAGGAAGGGATCGGGTAAGCCATGGAGGGAGGCCTACGGGTAGAGCAGCCGTGACACGCGCGACTGTGTTTCGTGGTGACAAGACGCCGCATGGAGAAAGGGTAGACCTGAAACCCTCTCACTGGGGGCAAGGTGGTTCCGAGGTTGGTTCTCTCGAAGTGATTGGATCCACCGGGGAACGGATCGAGGCGCCTCAAGACACCAGAATACGGACGAGGAGGAGACTACGTGTGATGGACGAGGGCGGAGAAGGCGGAGAAGGCGGGGAAAGCGGGGAAGGCGGGGAAGGCGGGGGAACTCTGGACGAGATGGATCGAGCCAAGGAACGTGGATTAATTGCTGAAAACCGTGGGTGGTAGGATACTAGCACTTGCTGCGGCAGCACGGACCAATGGAGCTGGCTAGCCGCGGCAGAGCTGTCGTCGCACAGCTTACAGCCACAGCTATTGCACTTGCTGCGACGCTGCAGCGACGACGAGGTGGGCACAGCGACGACGAAGCCCCGACGATCGGGCGACGGAATCTTGCCTCCGCGTGCTGCTGCTGCTGCTGCTTCCAAGGAACGAGAGAGCTACGCAGATTGAAAGCAGGGAGGATAGATAGATTCTGCTCCCTGCCACTAACAACTCAGATCGGTTCTGGAGCTCGATCCCTTCTGCTAGCATTCGTCCCTGGACTCGCACAGAAGTTTCGGAATCCGTCGTCAAACAAGAGTCGAACTCTCGCGAGTTGCCTAACTACTAGAGTTTGAGCGTCGTCTGGTATCGGCGCGAGATACTTCCGAGTGCGCATGCTGAGAGCGAAGAGCGAAGATTGGGGAGAGTGAAGAGCGGTGAGAAGGGGCCGGTGAGGGGCGGGAGATGAGGGGCCGAGTTAACGGATCTACGGCGAGTCGCTGAAGGGCGGGTAGGGTTTTACGGAGGATGCTAACTAGTCGCCGTCGTTCCCCTTGCGTGACCGGCGCCAGCGCGTCTTTTGGAACGTGTCGGTTGGCGTCGAGTGGAGAGCAACAAATAATTGCGGTTTTCTTGTTCTCCTCCTTTTCATTGCGCGCCTAGGATGACGGCGCCAAGCCGACTACGGCTATGATGGGCGTGTTGCTGGGCGGCAGGCTCGTACCGTTGAGTTCTCGGTAGAAACGGGGAGGAACAAGTTGGATGGATGGAAGGCCATGATGATGGTTGGGCTAGTTGAACGCACCCATGAAATGCCCATGCAATCTGTCGTCGTTGTGTTGGGCAGCGCTCGATAACGCACGTTTTGGTCCGGTGTGGCTGGGTGTCCGTGGAGCGGTAGGCCCTCCTGGCCATTGGGTCCATGTTTGTTCGCGTATCGCTCTTTCACATTCCAAGGTTTGGCCTAGTAGCCACTGCACTGCATCTGTTTCAACACTGGACTTTCAAGGAGGTTCACCGTTCGATGGACAGGAATTGTACATCACAACAACATCTCGGCCCTAGATCTGCCCAAGTCCAAACCGCGGACACTAATGTTGGAGATTCCGACTGACGCGGTCCCAGCTTCCCTCGTTTTGATACGCCCGCTTGCTCATTCCCTCCACTCATCAGCGCGGTCCGTACAAAGACAAATTTGACAAAATTTCGCCAATGTCGCTCGTGGGTGATTCTTCTAGCTGTTTGAACGGTCGCAATGTCTGGCGAAAAGTACAATTCTGTTACAATTTGTCTTTACTATGTATGTGAGGCTTAGTAAGGAGCACCGTTGTATTCAGCATTACCATGGTTATTGTTCCTCTTTTTTTTTTTTTTTTAATGGATTCACGAAGAAAATGGGGCGTTTGATTGCTAGACCATGGGCGTTTACATGAACTTGTATGCCTGGACTTGGTTGTGGAGTTTCACAGGTTGATATGAGGTTGCGTTTGATAGTCAAGAAATTAACGATTGTGTGGTAATATAAAATTCATAACTCAACTGATAGGAAATTTGAATGAAGAAGAAGCTTCCATGAATTTGTTTAATTAGGCTCGACTGACTTCACGGGATAGTGGCTATTAACGGGGAGAGTCAAGAGCGGTTCCATCCATCCCATCCTTGCCAGCAACTACCACCACCAGCCACCACCTGCCCTTCCCCCTACCACCACCACCCTCGCCTTGCTCCAGTGCCTTCCCCGCACCACCACGCCCCCTTCTACCCTGCCCTCCTCAGTCCATGCTGGATGTTGGGACTCGGGTCGGGAGGTACACACGACGCTGTTATTAGTTCCGCACGTCGACGCGCCGCACCGTTGTGGGTGATCAGCGCGCCCTTAGCCTGATCTGTCCTCTAGTGTCGCGCAGCAAAGATCTTACTGGTCCTCCCGTCGCGTAACTAACTCTCTCGGTGATCGAGTGCGTGTACTGCCCCCACAGGTGTCGCTTCGCTCTTGCTCTACGAGTCTCTCTCTCCCTCGTGCGGCTGTCTGCCTTAAGTCCGTCATCGGATTCGGCACTTCCGCGTTCGTATCTGACGCGCCGCAGCACGAGTCGTCCGTCCTCCGCGCCGGTACCTGGGATATCGGCTTCCCAGCATGTGCTTATCGTCCCTCCGTTACCCCCCACCGCCCTCTGCCACCCTCGTGTCAGCCATGAGGGGAGTCGTCTTTTCTCAAGCACAGGCGGGACTGCTATGGCTCAGCGAATAACCGTCTGCAGATGTCGGGGAATGACAGTTCCGTGGCCGAAGCGAGAGTTATATTACGTCTCGTATCGTACGTTAGCTGTCTCATTGTACGATAGCAGTGTGCGTGCTGCGTGCGTCCCGCTCAACCGCAGGATCGTCTCAGGTGCTCTTTTTCTAAACGGTTTCAGGGATCGTGCTCGAAGCGTTTCCATCTCGCTACCATTCCGCTAATCGGTAGCGTCTCCGTGCTTTTAGAGAATTCCCAAGAATCACCTGATTGTGGCCTAACAAGCGTTTCCATCGCGCTCCTGTCCCGCTAATCGACCGCGTGTCGACTCCCACGTGGTGAGTAATCAGTAAGACACCCCATCTTCATTCCCCTTAAGAGCTCTCCACCACCTTCCCCACTCCGCCCCTTCCGCCTTCCGCTCCGCAATTTGCTCCTCAACTCCCCTCGATGCGCGGAAAGTTTTCCGCCCAGGCGCGGGTTTGGCACGCAGCGACTGAGGCGCAGGAGGACGCGGGGCAGCAGGTGGGGGGGGCAAGCGAGGTGCGCGGACGCCCCTCCCCCTCCGTCGGCGCAGCTTCCCCCGTAAGGGGGCCCGTGCGGAGGGCGGAGGTGCCGATTGCGGGGAGCCTAGTGCTGGGGGGAGCTGCGCACGGGCACGGGCTGGTCGGGGGAGGCTGGGGGGGAGTATGGGGGGTCGGCGGGGCATGGGGAGGGGGGATAGGCGGAGGCGGAAGCGGCGGGGGGAGCTTGATGGCGTGGGTTTCCGCGGGGGTGGCTTGGGCGCAGCGGCATATGCTTTTCCTAGCAGCATTGATCCTGTTCCTGTACTCGTTAGTAGCTGTCTTCCACGCGTCTAACAGCCCCGCGGATCCGCGGATAGGGGCGGATGGGGGCCTGGCAGGGGGTTCAGCTCTCCGCGCACACTGTAGCTCATCTACACTGCAAGGCACGCGCAGCACCGGCGCTTCATCCTCGTTACAAGTCGGCGGGGCGTTTGGGCTGGGGTTGGGGCAGCGACAGGGGGTCCCCTCGCGCATTATTGTGCCTCCCCCGCACCCCCTGTCCCGCTCCGTGGCCCGCGTGCTGCTTAAAGCCACTGCCGTGCTCTCCCTCTCCCACAGCGTGCCCCGCAGCGTGCGGGTGGCAGGCGCAGGGGCGGGGGGAAGAGGGGGAGGAGGAGGAGGAGCAGGAGAAGGGGGAGACAGAAGAGGAAGAGGAGAAGGAGGGGGAGGGGGAGGGGGGGGGAGGATAGGGAGAGGAGAGGAGGACGGGCTCGAGAGCTCAGAGCCAGGCACAGATGAATCCGGAATCCAAGTGGAGCCACAGGCACAGGCACAGGCACAGGCACAGGCACAGGCACAGGCACAGGCACAGGCACAGGCACAGGCACAGGCACAGGCACAGGCACAGGCACAGGCACAGGCACAGGCACAGGCACAGGCACAGGCACAGGCACAGGCAGAACCCCAATCCCAATCTCAGTCACAGTCCCCCTCTGGCGTCTCCCTGACCATCTTCTGTGCCCCCAAGCCCTACCTCACCTCGTCCCCTGCCTCCGACCCGCAACGCCGTGCGCTGCTCTCCTGGCTGCGCCTCTCGCTGCGCCCCACTGTTGTTCTCCTGGGGAACGACTCCTCCTTCCATATCCTCGCTAAGGAGTTCCCCGGGCGCGTGGTAGTGGACTCGAGGGTCGATACCAATTTCTATGGCGTTCCGCTGGTGCATTCCATGCTGGCTCGCGCGCGGGCGGCGCCCACCATGGTGTCCCTGCTCATTAACGGGGATATACTGTTGCTGGAGGACGTGGTGCCGGCGCTTAGCAAAGTGCACAGGACGTTTAAGAGCTGGGTGCTGACGGCCGCTCGGTGGGACGTGAGTGCTGACTTCCCCTTTGCGCTGGAAGCAAGGGACGGGGGAGGCGGGGAGGGGGGAGGCGGAGGAGGAGTGGGGGGGATGAGGGGGAAGAGGGGGGTGGCAGCGAAGGGGAGGGGATAAGGCAAGCAGCGGAGGGGGAGTGGCTGGTGATAGGGGAAGGTAGCAATGCGAACAGTGGCAGCAGCAGCAGCAGCAGTGGTAGGGGGAGTTACCTGGTGGGGAGCAGTGTGGTGGAGGGGGAGGTGAGGCGGTACGTGCGGCGGCAAGGCAGCCTGCACACATACGGAGGGGTGGACTTCTGGGCCTGGAACAACTACGTGCATGTCACCCATGGCACCCACGGCACCCGCTCCAGTAGCGGCAGGAGCAGCAGCAGCAGCAGCAGCAGCAGCAGCAGCAGCAGCAGCAGCAGCAGCAGCAGGAGCAGAGGTTTGAGTGAGGAGGATGAGGGGAGCAGCGATGGGGACGGCGGCGACGGCAGCAACGGCCGGTACAGCAGCGACAGCAAGGACAGCACGCCGCTGTTCGCAGGGGAGATGCCGCCGTTCGCGTTCGGGCGAGGGAAATACGACAACTGGCTCACACATGAGATCGTCGCCGCGGGTCTACGGCAGATGGTGGACGCCAGCGACGCGGTTACATCCGTCCATGTGGCGCATTCTTACTCGCATGTGGTGGCGGGGGGTGTGGCGGCGGCGAAGGCGGGGCTGAGCTTTTGGAGCACGCGGAAGCAGTCGAGCTGGGAGCTGTTTGCGAATATACACATGGCGCAGACGCACGGGTCATACCGCAACCAGAAGGGCACTGCGCTGCACATCCCCTGGCGCCTGCTCTCGTGCTTCGACCACGCTGGTATGGCGGGGAGAGTGCGTGGCGTGGGAGAGTTGAGAGGGTGGAGGGGGAGTGGTGGGAAGAAGTCAGGGTTTAGGGTGTGGAGGTTTTGAAGCGAGGGAGTGAGGAATCGAGGTGGGTGGATGGGTAGGGAGAGGGCGAGGTGACGAGGGGACGAGGGAGAGAAAGAAGGGGTTGGGGAGGAGGGGTTGAAATGAGCGAGAGTGAGAAAGAGAGGGAGCAAAGTGGAACTTTGAGGTGTTTAAGAACCTTGGTGTGACAATGAGGAGGACAACACCTTGACGTCTCTCCACACACTACACCACCACATCACATCAATCTATTCCTCAATTACCCCGAGCCCTTTAACCTTCTTCCCCCCTCCCCTGCCCCCCTCCTCTTCTCCTCCCCTCCACCCCCCCCAGCATCCAACATGTGTCTGCAGCGGCGTTTGCGCCCAGCCAACTGCACGTGCGAGTACTCCGCCTTCGTGCCCGCCTCCCAGTCCGACCCGCGGTGGGAGCGCGGCGGCGTGGTGTGCGGCACGCTGTCCATCGACCACAACAAGGACTTTGCCATCCACCCACTGCCCACCAGCCCCCGCTCGCCCCCGGGCCTCCCCCACACGCTCGACCAGCTGCTGCCGCAGCTCGCGAGAAACATCACCGAGCCGGGGGGTTCCGCGACTGGCGGCAGCAGCGGGGGGGGTGGCGGCACGGGGGTGACTGGGGAAGGGGGAGGAGACAGTGGTGGGAGCGGAGCAGGGGAGGAACAGCAGCTGCAGCAGCAGCAGCAGCAGCTGAGAGTGGTGACGCTAGTGGCAGTGACCTTCACGTACGCTGACATGCTCATGAGCTTTGTGTGCCGCCTGCGCGCTCTCGGCCTAGCGGACAACCTTCTAGTGGCGGCGCTGGACGCGGAGATGTACCGCTTTGCCTTCCTGCAGGGCCTCGCAGTGTACCTCGAGCCCAGCTCCTCCTCCATGCACAAGTCCCTGGGCACGGACGCTGCCTCGCCCTTCCGCGACTGCCCCTTTGGCAGCCCCTGCTTCCAGGAGTTCACGAAGCTCAAGTCCCGGGCGGTGCTGCGCGTGCTGCGAGCCGGCTACTCTGTGCTGCTCTCAGACGTTGATGTGGTGTGGTTTAAGGACCCGCTGCCATACCTGCTGTCGTTTGGCCCGGGCACGCTGCCGATCCAGAGCAACGAGCCGAACGCGAGCCTGCCAGGCACGGGAATTAGGAGGATCAACTCGGGGTTCTATTTCGCGCGAGCGGATGGGGTTACCATCGAGGCGTTTGAGGCGATCGTGAGGCATGCGGGCAGGACCAAGCTGTCGGAGCAGCCGAGCTTCTATGACGTGCTGTGCGGAGGGAAGGGGGAGCTGGTGGTGCGAGCGCTGAAACAGAAGCAGCAGCTGCAGGAGCAGCAGTGGGGAGGGGGGGGGAAGAGCCAGGCGGCGCAATGGTGGCTTGGCAGCAGCGGCAGCGGCAGCGGCGGCAAGGAGCAAGCGGGTGAGGAAGAGGGAGAAGAGGAGTCCTGCATTTGGAAGAATGGCCTGCGGACCATAATGCTGAACCGGTCTCTATTCCCAAATGGGGCGGTGCACAAGCTGTGGGAGCAGGAGAGTGTGGGGAGGGCGTGCCGGGCCAAGGGGTGTGTGGTGCTGCATAACAACTGGATCACTGGACATGCGGAAAAGCGGGAGAGGATGAGGCGGCATGGGTTCTGGCACTATGATGTGGCACGGAGGATGTGCGTATGGGGGTGGCATGAGGAGTATGGGGAGGAGAGGGAGGAGGATGATGCTGATATGGGTGCTGGCCATGCAGATGCAAGGTGAGGCATGCATGGAGATGGATGGAGGTGCATGGATATGCTAGGAGATGGAAGGGATGGAAATTGAAATGGAAGGGATGCATTTTTCCCCTGCTGAAAATGCTCCATTGAATTGGTGCCTCCGAGGAAGCTGTCCTGTTCTTTTTACATGTACGCAGGGGCTGCACACAAGGTCTCTGGTTAAGACTCGCCTCTCTGCGTTTGTACCATTCTTTGAACGTTGGCAGTATCTTTTTGGAGATCTCCATACAATTGTTATTCAGATAGTGAGATTTTGTAATACCCTCAGCACAACATGACATTATGGGGGGAATGGAGATTGGCGTTGGTGGTGCGTTACTGAATAAAACTTACTACAGGTCATATGCCTTGTAGACGACCCCCTTTTACGCCCAGGAGTATTCCATATGCAAATTATCCTTAAGGACCTCTCTTTGTACGCAAAGTGAACCCGTCTCAAGTGAACAGTAATATAGACAGTCAATTCGGGTAATCCAAGGGCGTCCAATCGGGTTGCGCTAGTGTTTACAAAGCGACCGCACCTAGTGGTTGGCGAGCCAGAAAAATCCAGACGTGTCAGGCTCGCCAACCAATGCCGACGCAAAAATCGACATGATGCGCTAGATACGAGCAGCTCGTATGCGATCCAATAAAATTGTGCCAGCCATTTCAACGGAATCCGTCGGCGTTGCCCCTCCGTCCTCCCACTGCCAATACGAGCTCGCCACGGAAGCTGCAGAGGGGTCCCAACATTGTACCCCCCGCCAGCAGTTCCGACTCCTCGGGGTTATTTATACGCCCCAAAAAACAACCTCTTCGCGACACAAAGAACGATCCCGCCAAACCCACAAAGTCGTCCACATGGCACCTGTGCGCCGTGTTGCGCTAGCCATCGGGCAGAAGATTGCAATATGCCAATACGCCAAGAAGAACCCGACGTTGCGGCTCGAAGACATTGGGCGATGGTGCCACACCAGATACGGTCTGTGGCCGGATCGCAGCACAGTCGGGCGAGTTCTGCAAAACGAGCAGAAGTGGTGGGCCATCGGGCCCGAACGCGCCAAGTTCAAAAGGGTGCGCAACCCACACTGGCCTCTACTGGAAGCTCGACTCAAGAGCTGGCTGAAAAGCACGAATGGTGCCGGCCTGCCAGTTTCGACGGCTCTAATCCAGCAGCGCGCAATACAGCTAGCCCCTGAGTGTAACGTGCCACGCGACTTTAAGGCATCTGTTGGATGGGTTCAGAAAGCACTGCGAAGAATGGGATTCAAATGGCGTAAGATGAGCGGCGAAGCGAAGTCTGCCGACGAGGGTGTCAAACATGTGTAGTTATCATGTTTGTATAGACTGTATAGGGTCACCTTCTAGAGAGTACAACATTTAGGTATATGTTTGTGTACTCTCTCTCTCACATCATTCAATTCTAATTCTGATATGGTATCACGCGTAGGTAGGATCCCCCCCCACCTCCCGCTTCCGCTCATGCCCCCTAGCGCCCCTCCTGGGCCCCGTCGCGCTCCTCCCAGGCCCTGTAGCGCCCCGTCGCGCCCCTCCTGGGCCCCGTAGCGCCCCTCCTGGGCCTCGTAGCGCCCCTCCTGGGCCCTGTAACGCCCCTCCCAGGCCCCGTCGCGCACCTCCCAGGCCCAGTCGCGCTCCTCCCAGGCCCCCTAGCGCCCCTCCTGGGCCCCGTCGCGCTCCTCCCAGGCCCCGTAGCGCCCCGTCGCGCCCCTCCTGGGCCCCGTAGCGCCCCTCCTGGGCCTCGTCGCGCCCCTCCTGGGCTTCGTAGCGCCCCTCCTGGGCCCTGTAACGCCCCTCCCAGGCCCCGTCGCGCTCCTCCCAGGCCCCCTAGCGCCCCTCCCAGGCCCCGTCACGCTCCTCCCAGGCCCCCTAGCGCCCCTCCTGGGCCCCGCCGCGCTCCACCCAGGCCCCGTCGCGCCCCTCCTGGGCTCCGTAGCGCCCCTACTGGGACCCGTCGCGCCCTCCCTGGGCCCTGTAGCGCCCCTCCTGGGCCCCGTCGTGCCCCTCCCAGGCCCCGTCGCGCCCCTCCTAGGCCCGTAGTGCCCCTCCTGGGCCGGTAGCGCCCCTCCTGGGCCCCCATTGCGCCCCTCCCTGGGCCCCGTATCCACCCTCCTGGGCCCCGTCGCGACCGTCCCTAGGCCCGTCGCGCCCCTTCCTGGGCCTCGTCGCGCCCCTCCTGGGCCCCCCCCCCCATTGCGCCCCTCCTGGGCCTCGCCGCGCCCCTCCTGGGCCCCCCATTGCGCCCCTCCTGGGCCCGTAGCGCCCCTCCTGGGCCTGTTGCGCCCCTCCTGGGCCCTGCCGCGCTCCTCCCTGGGCCCCGTATCCACCCTCCTGGGCCCCGTCGCCCCTGCTCGGCCCCGTCGCCCCAGCTCGGCCCTGTCGCGGCCTCTCGGCCCCGTGGCGCCCGCCCGGCCCCTGTCGCAGCTGCCCGGCCCCTGTTGCACCTGCCCGGCCCCGTCACGCCCGCCCGGCCCCGTCGCCCCCGCCCGGCCCTGCTGTGTCCTGCCCGGCCCCGTCGCTGCCGCCCGGCCTTGTCGCTGCCGCCCGGCCTCGTCGCTGCCGCCCGGCCTTGTTGCTGCCGCCCGGCCCCGTCGCAGCCGCCCGGCCCCGTCGCAGCCGCCCGGCCTCGTCGCTGCCGCCCGGCCCCGTCGCAGCCGCCCGGCCCCTCGTCGCGCCTGCCCGGCCCCGTCGCGCCTGCCCGGCCTCGACGTGCCTGCCCGGCCCCGTCGCGCCTGCCCGGCCCCGTCGCGCCTGCCCTGTCCCGTCGCGCCTGCCCCGGCCCTCCATACTTCCTGGTACTGTCCCCCGTTCCCCGCACCACTTTGCACCCTCCTGCACTTTCCTGCCCCGCCTTGCACCGCATTGCACCTCACTGAACCGCACTGACCGCACTGCACCGCACTGGACCGCACTGCACCGCACTGCATCGCACTGCACTGCACTGCACCGCCCTGCACCGCACTGCACAGCACTACACCGCACTCCACTGTCCTCCTCTGCCCCTCATGGCTGCTGAGCTTCGTTTTGATGCTGAGGGTCAGCCTCTGGAGTTCGGGGCGTGGTTGGCTGACCTTCGCCGCCACCTCACTGGTCAGCGGCAGGACGGCCACCCGCTTTCTGCACACCTAGACGGTATGCTCCCCTGCCCTGACCCCCCTGCTGTGCTGCCCGCTGATCCCACGCCCGCTGAGCGCGAGTCCACTGCCGCCGCTGCCCTTGCCCGCTCTGTCTGGCTTTCCCGCGATGCCCTTGCTCAGCTCGCCATTAGCAATGCCCTCCCCCCCCTTGAGCGCCCTCGCTTTAGAACCATTTCTACCGCCCAGGCCTACCTCGATGCTGTCATCAAGCGCTATTCTACCCCTCCTGCTGCCTCAGTGGGTCGCCTGATCCTCCCCCTGCTCTTTCCTGACCTGGCGTCCTTCCCCACTGTCTCTGACCTCGCTGCCCACCTGCGCTCGATAGATGAGGCCTGGCGCGCTGCCTGCACTGATGCACAGCTTAGAGTCCACCAGCCTCCCATGACCTCTACCCTCTACCTCCTTGCCACCCGCCTCCCTGACCGCCTTGCCGCCGCCCGCGACCAGTTCCTTAGCATCCACCCTGCTGCTCTCACCCTCACCGACTTTGTTGACACCCTGACTGCCATAGAGACTCGTCACCGCTCCATAGCCCAGGCGAGCGGTACAGTACCGGTCCCTATCTTTCAGGGTTGTGCCCCCGCTCAGTGTACCTTCTCCGACGGCTCTGTCGCTGTGGCTGAGACTACTGCTGCAGTGCAGTCCCGCTCGGGGAAGGGCCGCCGCCCCAAGGTTGGGAGCGGTGGAGGTGGCGGGGGTGCGGGTGGGGGTAGTGGTGGAGGCGGGTCGTCCGGTGCCGGTGCGGACGTGGGGACCCTGCCCGGTCCAGCTGCCCCGCTGCCTCCACCGTTGCAGCAGCCGCAGCAGCAGCAGCCTCCGCAGCAGCCGCAGCAGCCGCCGCAGACGAGGCCGGCGAGTGCTCTCCCGCCTGGGTGGCCTGGAGCTGGTGGTGGTCGTGCGCGTGGTGGTGCACCGGGTGGTGGTTCTGGAGGCGGGCCCTGTCAGTACCAGATCCAGACCGGTCCTCGCCGCGGCTTCGTTTGCGGTAAGATCGGTCATTCTACTCCTCGCTGTTTTCGTCGTCTGGACGACCTGTTCCGCCAGCGCTTTGGCCCGGCGCCCGACCTCCCGGACTGGCACAGCTTGCTTAGGCGTAGCATTCGGATTTTTGACTTGGACATGGATGCCATTGTAGCAGCCTTGCATGTGATGTATGCCGATGACTCTAGTGTGCTTCCCTCTTATTACCCCGTGTTGCCTAGTGTAGCTGTGCCTAGCGTAGACTCCCCTGCTGCGTCAGGCGTAGGATCTCCTGCTTTGCTTAGCCTCGGTGCTTCCACCGCTTCACTGTCGCCCCGCGCGACTGCTGCGCTTTCCTTCACCTTGGACTCTGGCGCCTCCCGGTGTTTCTTCCGCGACTCCACGACGCTGACGCCGCTGCCTGTTCCCGCTGCAGTTACTCTTGCTGACCCCTCCGGTGGTCCCGTCGTTGCCCGCAGTTCCACCTCCCTTCCCTGTCCGGCGGTTCCTTCAGGTTCGCTCACCGGTCTGCATATCCCCTCGTTCTCCAGGAACCTAGTTGGTGTCGGCTGCCTCCAGGACCTTGGCGTCACCACTACGTTCCCTGGTCACGAGCGGTATGCTGTCTGTACCGAGGCCGCCACTGGTGCCCCCCTTACCACTTTCCCCGGGACCCGGTGTCCGGCCTGTTCACACTTGACACCGCGACGTCCCCGGCTGGGTCTTCCCCCCAGGTAGCTGCGTCCACCCAGGTTGCTGCTGCGTGCTCCTGTCGGTCCCTCACTCATCCGACTCTCCTTTGGCACCACCGCCTTGGTCACCCTGCACTCCCGCGTCTGCGTCACATGTCCCAGCACGGTCTCGTCCTTGGTCTCCCCGGTTCGTTCCCTGAGTTTCCCTCATCCCCGCCCCACCGTGCACGCCTTGTGTCGAGGGCCGGCTCCGCCGTGCCCCTCACTCCTCCTCTTTTCCCCCTACCACCGCACCCCTGCAGACTCTGCACATGGACGTCTGGGGCCCAGCCCCGGTCCATGGGCCGCGTCGCGAGCGCTTCTTCCTAGTGCTTGTCGACGACTTCACACGTTACACCACCGTCTTTCCCCTGGAGCGGAAGGCCGACGTGCCTGACGTTCTCATCCCCTGGCTTGTCTCTGCTCGTCTCCACCGCGGTCTCCCTGCCTTGCGCCTCCACTCTGACCGGGGTGGCGAGTTCGCCTCAGGTGTCATTGGTCGCTTCTGTCGTGCGGAGGGCATCACCCAGACGTT